CTGGCTGGTCACTAAATGTGGGGCTTGGGGAACCAGGGCAGGGGCAGTCTTCTTGCTGAAGGTTTTGTCCTTTCCTGGTACGAGCCTGTGCTGGCATCACTGGTGGCTTGGTGCCCAGGCGATCTCAGCATATAAAGTGCTGTCTGAGGCAGTGGTGGTCTCCAGTGGCCTAGTGTGTTCTCCATAGGTGCACTCTGCTTTCCTCACCTCAGAGTGCTGTGCTGCCTTAAGTACTGACCAGCTCTGGGGTTATTTGCTGCATAGTCAAAGCCAAATCCACAATCTTTTTCTTTTCAAGGGAACTTGGAGTCCTCACGAGTCAGAAAGTCTGAACATGTCACACAGTGCATGGCTCACAAGCCACTTTTCTGAAACATATGTTAATACTCAATGACTGTGATGCAGGCATCACTGTTAGTGGTCCTGTTTCCAGGGAGACTACAGGATTCTGTGGGGTATGTCATCTCATTAGGAGCCATACTAGCCTAGGAAGCCAGGTCAGCATTCCAATTCTTCCTGCTTTATCACAGAGTTTGGAAGAGAAATAGCTCTATTTTCAATAAAGAACCTCTTAGCTTTTTATATGTGTGTTTGTATGTATGTATGTATGTATGTATGTATGTATATGTAATATGTACACACACACACACACACAGTACTTACTGAATCCAGGACCTTGTGTATTTAATACTAAGCAAGTCTAAGTAGCTAACACTGGCCTGAGCTTCCTGAGTGCTAGGATCACAGTCATGTGTCACCACACCCAGTTCAAGCCTGTCTTAGGGTAGAAGTGAGTTGGTTCTTTTAGCAGTAGTTTAATGCACATTATCTGGACATTTGGGTATTGAGGGTTTTGTGTATACTGTACCACCATTTTTTTGGGGACACATTCTGAAGCTGCTCAGTGGGTACCTAAAACTATTAGTGTTGGTTCCTGTATGTATTGTGCTTTTTCCTACTCATCTATAACCATGACAAAGTTTATAAATTGGGCACAGTAAAAAATAGTAATAAGGGTTGGAGAGATGGCTGAGTGGTTAAGAGTAATTGCTGCGCTTGTAGAGAATTCAGGTTTATGTGCAAGTATCAACATGGGACTTTACATCTGTCAGTAAATCCAGTTCTAGGGGATCCAACACCCTCTTCAGGCCTCTGTGGGCACTGTAAGCATGTGGTACACAGACATATATGCAGGCAAACATTCATACATGTAAAATAAAAATAAGCACATCTAAAAAAAAAGCCAGATATAACATATGTTTGGAAAAAGCCTGTTATAACAGTGCACTGTAATAAGAGCTGTGCCAATGTGGTTTCTCTCTTAGGTTCCTACATTCACCCTTCTTTTAGGGATGGTGTGAAATGATACATTATCTAAATGATTCTCCTAAAGTGATGTGAGTCACATAGCCATTGTTAGGTAGCATTAGGCTGCTATATCATGATTTCCTGAATATAAAGTCTGTTTTGGTCACGTCAGGTAGATGAATAAGAAGAAGGTAGCATGCATAGCATGGACATAGCTGGACAGAGGCATAGTTTATGTCTCAATGGAGATGGCATGAAACCATATCATACTTTTCAAAACATACACAATTTTAAAATTATGAGTTGCTTATTATCTGGAATTTAATGTTTCTGAACTAAAGTTGACCAAGGTTCAACCAAAAACATGGAAAGTAAAACTAGTTGGGGTGGAAGACAGTCTTGTAGTGAGTTGTCTTACCCAACATTGTAGATCAGTCTTTGAGAACAGTTGGCAGCATGTGGCTACCTAAATTGTGCCCCACACTCCCCCAAAGCTCATTTTGATTGAAAACCACTTTCTGGTTTTCTAGGCCATCTTAGCAGCTCAGAGACGAGGAGAAGATGTGGAGACGTCCAAGAAATGTAGGTACTCAAGCCTGCACTTGCAAAGATGTGCTATGGGATTGCTTGCCTGATGGTATGGTTGGGTAGTCCCTGGGGGCCTGTCAAGAGCAGAGGCCGGCTGGCTGCTGGGCAGCCGGGAAATAGTCTTGACCTGTTAGCACAGCTCTGAGTGGTGTGAGGTCAGCAGGGACTGTTAACTTTCTACCTTCTCACCACCACTGTGGGGAGATTCAGATGCAGGACTCTGAGGACTGTGAAGTCCAGGTCAGCTGGGCCTGGGACCCGGTCAGTCTGCTTTACATCGGAAATCCTTTCCCCTGTGCTGACTTCAAGCTGTCTTTGCTCTGTTCTGCTCACATTGTCTCCAGGGGCTGCTGGCCAGAACAAGCAGCATTCCATCACCAAGAACACAGCCAAGCTGGACCGGGAGACAGAGGAGCTGCATCACGACAGGGTGACCCTGGAGGTGGGCAAAGTGATTCAGCGGGGCCGGCAGAGCAAGGGCCTGACGCAGAAGGACCTGGCCACGGTGAGGCTTTTACTGCTGTGGAGCGGGGACAGGAGACATGTGCTTAGACAGTATAGGGAAGGCGGGCTCACTGCATGGTAGCTTTGGGACCTCACCCTAGCATACCTCAAATCCTCTGGGAAAGCCAAGTCAGAGAAGCTTTAGCTCTCTCTTGTACAAGACTTGCCTGTATGGGTTTACTAGGGACCCCAGACAAAGACGGCTGTCTATGGGTACCTCCCTTGGCTTTCTGCAGCACATTTTATTGAGCTAGTATGGCTAAGGTGCATCTTTTCTTCAGAAAATCAATGAAAAGCCGCAAGTCATCGCAGACTATGAAAGTGGACGGGCCATTCCGAATAACCAGGTTTTGGGCAAAATTGAGAGAGCCATCGGTGAGTCTTCCCTGGCAGTCTTGGACGAGGCATTGCCCTTCTGTAAGGGGTGGTGAGGGCTAAGATGACAGGCCCCTGTCCTTTTGAGGCCAAACTGCTAGACTCTTGCCTAAAGGTTTGAGGATCGGTGGGCCTCCAGAACCCTAAGGAAATGTCGTCTTGGGTCCTTCTCTAGCTAGCATCCAGCCAGAACTCACTGTCCTCGGGGTGCCTACATGGCACAGTGCACCTCCATGGAGGACCAATGCACTGTTCCAGTTCTTCTGGGACAAGATATCAAGATGTTTGCCTTCTCATCTTTTTTAGATTTTATCATTTTGGTTTTTTCTGTCTGTCCTGGAACTCACTATGTAGACAAGGCTGGCCTTGGCCTTGAACTCACAGAGGTCCGCCTGCCTCTGCCTCCTATGTGCATTAAAGGCGTGCACCACCACATCTGGCTTAGATTTTTTTTATATAGTCTCTCTATAGCTCGGGCTGGCCTCAAACTCACATCAGTCCTTCTATCTCAGTCTCCTGAGCTCTGGGATTGCTGGAGTGAGCCACCATGGCCAGCTTCGTCCTCAATACTTTCTGAAATGCCTGGCTCACACTCTAATGTCAGATGTGAAAGCAGCCCTTTGTGTGGAGGCCTTGTGATATGAGTAGACAATAATGATGGAAAGCTCAAATAGAGCAGGGAGGTTGGGTAGGTGCAGGAAGCTGCAGAGTGGTCAGCATCTTGCTGGCTTGTTTCAGGCCTCAAGCTCCGGGGGAAGGACATCGGGAAGCCTATCGAGAAGGGGCCGAAGGCGAAATGAACACAAAGCCTCGAAGCCAGTGGTTCCGGCTGAGCTCTTCTGGCTGGTCCCCCAGGACCACCAGCACTGCCGTGGGTCTCCTCACATGGTCAAACGGAACATGGGGGTCAGGCCTGTGTGCCCCCTCAACCCATACCTGCTGTCAAACAAAGCAAAACCTTGCAAAGTGATAGCCTCTTGGCTTTTTCCTCCCTGCCTTCTGACCTTAGCAGGGGTGCGAACCTGCACCTTCTGTCCCATGGACAGCTGGCTGCAGTGGGGAGTTCAAGTCTGTGGAGTTAGAACTCCCTGGGAGGAGGTGATATCTGTGTTCTCCTGCTAGAGAGAAGGGTCTAGCAGTCTCTAGTTCTTTCTTCACTGTGGATGACAGTTGTTGGGATGAAAACAGGATTCCTTCATGATAGATAGATACCTCATAGGGAGTGGAGTGAGGAATTTGAACTTTCTTTCCCTGTCTGCTCAGAGAAGTAGGCATCAGTCATCTGTGTAAATGCCTAAAGGTACAAGGTAGTACCTGGCCGTGTGCCACAACCTCTTTCCCATGGAGTTGAGTTTTGGACAGGCAGGAGCCTAGCTTGGAATGTACAGTATCTATGGTGAGACAGGTTTCCTTAGATAGGAAGGGAGCACCTGATTGCTAAGGTGTGGATGGCCATTCCCCTTCTCTGAGGAGAGCCCTCAGGGTCCTCAGTCCTCAGTGAAGGCACAGCGGAAACAATGTGGAGGATTAGGGCTTGAGAAACCATCCCTGGGACAGGTGTGCCCCCATCACTCCATTAGCATCCTGATTCAGGGTAGCAGCCCTAGCTCTGTTCTCCCTTTGGTCCTTTGGACCAAAGGCTAAAGTGCAGCTTGCCTTCTGGTGTCCTGCTATGAAGTGAGATGGGCATGCCCAGTGACTTCAGTCACCACCTGCAGTCCCAGAGTTGTTCAGTCCTTTATCTGAGGTGGTGGCATTTCTCCTCACCAGACCAGTTTTATGGCACCATGTCCAGTGCTTATTTATGACCCCAATTCTGCGTCTGAGGGGTGATTCCACCTTCATTGGGTACAAAGTCACCTGTTAAGTTAGAAGTTGAGCCCATTCCTTGCTGACCAAAGTGAGGGTCCTTAAGGTCCTGTAATTTCTGAGCTGCACCAAAGGCAATGAGGGGGGTTCCACACCTGCTTCCAGAATTCTGTCTCAGGTTAGGCTTGAACCCTGGAGGGCCTCCCACCTGCCAGCTATGATAGATAGGTCCTGCCAAGTACAGTGTATTATGAAGTGTATCCTGAAGGCCTGGGATGACCTCACTGGTATAGAACATTTATTCACAGTGCGGGGACCCTTTGATCATTCCACAGGGAAAGGTCAACCAGATGGAGGAAGAGCTGTAGAAGCTTCAGGCCTAGCTCTAGGCCTAGATGTAGGTCAGGTATCTGTGAGGGCTGAATGCTGAATCCTGAATCCTGTGGGAGCTGGTATAGGAGCCAGGCCTTGTCTGGTTTTATGAGCTGCTGGTGATGGATTCCGGGAGGGTGACTTGATCCTAGGAAAAAGGGAGGAATACTGAACAACTGCTGAAAGACAGCCTGGACTTGGACAGGTGAGGCAAGGTGCCTCTTCCTGAGTCCTGGCCCACCACTGCTTTAAGTATGGAGGCAGAATCTCCCACTCGCCCACATCTGGTGGTTCCTACCGCACTGAAGAGGATGTTGTTAAAACTAGAGGTTGCTGTATCTGTGCTCCTTTGGAAGGGACAGTGCTGCTTCCGTAGCCAGTGCCAACCCCCAAGGCTCAGGAGCACCAGGAACACGGAGAGGAGGAGGGCCCCTCCGACAGCAGCTGGCACAGACACAGGTGCTGCCATTTCACCTGAGGGCACAGAGGCCAGGCACCTGAGCCCTCCACATAGCTCCCAGGACTGCTGGGAAGGAGTGAGCCTGGACTGCCTAACCCTCCAGCCCTTGTTGATCTGTGAGTATAATACTGCAGACCTGTCCCACCTCTTCAGCATGATGGCAGCCAGTGACTGACAAACACAGGTGCCATTGTGGTCCAGCTTAACCTGGCAGCTCCTTCAAGGCAGTTCTTACTCAGGAGGAGAGGTATAGTGCAGAGAGCACAGAACCCAGGCCGGGTCCAGCTGGTTTCTTGAGCAGGGCTCAGAGTACTTCGGCAGGTTCAGGACAAGTCTGGCCACCCTGGAGCCCAGTGCTTACCCTGGCCAGATGCAGGCAGCCGGCAGCGCTGCCCTGCCAAGTATTCCACGTCATCGAGGGCGATGGGCCCCAGAGCTGGCTGGCCACCCAGAGTGGCTTCAAAAACAATCTGACAGGGAAGGGAAAGGCTGTGAGTATCTGGAGGGACGGGAGAGAGGGAAGGAAGGACAGCTCTCCTGGAACCTCACCTGGAACTCCTCAGAGTTGGACAGTTCGATCTGGACTTGTACCCACTGGTGCCGCAAGTGACTGCCCTGCTCCCACACAGCCAGTTGGCCTTGGGTACAGCTCAGGAGCACTCTTAACTCGCCCTTGTCTGAGAGCGGGCATCAGGGCAAGTCAGCTCAGGTTCCTGGAGAATACCTTTGTGCCTAACTAACCTGATCCCCCTTCCCCCTACACCCAGGGCCCAGCCACTCACAGAAATGCTCAGGAAAGCCCGCGTAGTACCAGAAGCGGAGGCATGAGGCTGTAGTTGCTGGTAGTGGCTCACTGCGCAGCCAGGCTGCTCGGCCCCCAGGACCTAGCATACTGGTTTCAAAGAAAGCAAAGTGGCCTGGAAATGAAAGGTGGAATGTGCTGGTGTCTAACTTGAGGGAAGCTGGGTGAGTACAGCCCAGCTGTGAGGCAGTATCAGCCCGAGCCCCACTTCAGCCAGTGCTCACCTGCTTCTGTGCCCAGGGTGTGGTCCACTGTGGGCATGGGGTAGCGGGATGGGGTGGCTGCACTGCTCCAGTCCCAGCTGTACCCACCTAGGCTGGGCCGAGCCAGGTGGCTCCAGCCACACAGGCCAGATTCAAAGTCACAGGACCCTGCAAGGAGCCGGCAGGTGAGCAGAGCTGCCCCACTAAGCACCACCACTCCTGGGCAGGGCCAGGTGAGGCAAAAGCCAGGGAGTTGCCTTTGGCATAGATAAGGTACAACTCAGGCCACAGCAAGCTGCTCACCTGGCTGAGCACAGGGCCCATCTCGGAGGAGAAGGTCATCTAGAGCCATGTAGGAATGCTCCACACCGGCGGCCACAGCCTCAAACACGAGCTACAGGGTACAGAGCCACAGATCATGCAGGCTGGTCCTGGCTGCCCTTGAAGATGAGGAGGCTTTCCTCTTTCCATCCAGGTACTCACCCTCCAGGCCTGCTCAGCCTGTACATTCACACTGCCCAGACGCCAGGTAAATCCACCACGGGCACTGATGCTGAGCTCTTGGCGCCTTGTGCTCTCTTCCACATGGACCCTCAAGGTGCCTACCCACCAAGAACCAGCCAGGTTAGGTGCCCTGGGGGCTCCCCAGACATGGACGGGGCCCTTCCCTTTCCTATAGCTACTTACCTGGGTTATGGAGGCTTAAATGGTACCAGAAGGTCAGGCAGGCTGGCTGGGTCAGTGGCTGATGTTCCTCTGAGGTCAGAGAGGCCACATGACCCTTGGGCAGTACACTTGGGCTGGTGTCTACCACCATGTAGTGCCCTAGGGGAAGGGAGACCAGCATTAACTTGTCTTCCCCGGGCCAGCCCTCTGTACTCCCACTCCAGCCAGACCAGTACCTTGGGCTGTTTCTGTGGTATGGTCTGTCCAAGGACCCCAAAGAGCATGGCCTGAGGCATTACCCTGGCGCTTCCACAGTCCCAAGCCCCCAGCAGAGAAGCCGCAGTCAGAGTCTTCAAAGGAACAGCTCTTGGGGGCCCAGCAGGGGCCAGGCCTCACAGCCAAGTCATCCAGGCCCATTGTGCCATGGTACCCATTCCGGAGGCCTTCAAACAGCAGCTGAGGGTGGAGAGTGGTAATTGGCTGGGGTCAACCCTACACCATCTACCAAGTGCCAAGCTCACCCTCACCTGGTACTTGGTGTTGGCCTCTAGCTGGTGATGAAGAGTGACCCAAGCCTGGTGCCAGCGGTTGCCATGGGTACCGGACCTGGACCACAGTAGTGTGTCTTCCTCCCCATCCTTCCTTATGGCCAGGCGCAGTGTTCCTGAAGAGGAGTGGAGTTTGCAGGGGAACAGCCCCCAGCTCCTAGTGCCTCAGGCTGCAGTGGGTACCAGATACATCCAGAGGTTCTAATAGCTGAGACTCACCAATCTGGGGCCCATATAGGTGGTACCAGAAGCTGAGACATTCCTTGGGGACAAGCGGCACCTGGGGTCTTGTGAGCAACATAGCACCTTGTCCTCGAGCAAGAGGGTCCGTGGGATCCAGGAACATGAAAAAGCCTATGGGGATGAAAGCCAAGCCACAGAAATGCTCTCCCAGTTTGCACTTCCCTTCCAGGTCTCCGAGGTCAGAGGTCTGGGAATTTCCCTACCTTGGCCAGTGGTATGGTCATATTTAGAGCCATGGCTTTTCACACGGTGCCAGTGGGCATCTGTGAGGTGGTCTGTGTGCCAGCTGCATGAGTCCCGTTCAAAATTACAGGAGACCTCTGGGGGGGGAGGTGTGGAGTGGGCTGGAGTCAGTCCTCCCCCCTCCCCGCTTCCCAGCTGTGATAAGAAGGATTAGAGGTAGACTGGGTAGCAGTCCCTGGGTGGGGATGGGAGATACGCAGGAGAAACCTTGGTCACTCTCAGTGGTCACTGTGGGATTGCAGTCTCTCATAGTCACATTATCCACCCCAGCCCTCTGCTGACCAGGGCCGTCCAGGTCCACTAGACCGACAAACTCCAGCTTTAAGCAGACAGGGAAAAGACTGTCAGTTAGGGGCTGGCTCATTACAGGTTCCCATCTTGGACTGCTATCCTCACCTGGAATGGCCGGTGTCGTGCCCCAAGAAGAACCTTCTCCACTGTCCAGTCCCCGATGCTGCTGCTTGGGGCCTGCCACACCAGCTCCCGGAAGCCATTCTCCACCACAACCAGTGCCAAGAAGCCTGACCAAGGGAGTTTGTATGGGTGGGTTGTCCTCAGACCCTGTCCACCATGCAGGGGACTACTGGGGATCGGGCCTGGGGCCAGGAGGCATGTAGTACCTTGGGGATGACTGTGAAAACAGTAAGCCATGTGGAGTTCACAGCGAGGGCCAGAAGGGCCCAGGGAAGGTGTGAGAGCCCGGGCCTCAGATCTTAGCTGCCCCCAGGCCTTCTGCAGAGATAGGAAGTGCCCTATGGAAAGAGCAAGGTACCCCCTCACTGCTCTGGTAACCCTAATTTACAGACTGTCTGAGAAGGGGTTCCTGTGGGGAAGTGGCCTCACCAGGAATATCCGGGTTAGCATCCTTCGCAGGTTTCCTGTTTTGGGCTTCAACCCGTTGCCACTGCAGCTTTCCTACACTGATGTCTTCCCAGCCCCCAGCAGAGGCAGACTCAAAGTCTGTGGTACCTGCAACAACAGTAACCTGCTCAGGAAGGCAGCAAAGCCCAGGTGTCTGGCCTGCCTGGGCCCTGCACACGTGAAACCGTGGAACCCAGGCTCTGACTGGCCTCACCACACTTATGTTCGTCCTCGCCCTCTGCACATTGCTGCTGGAAATCACACAGCTGCTCTGGAGGCACACACAGTTCTCCACAGGAGAGATGTCCTGGCTTGCAGGCTTCCCGCTTGATGGATGTCTGGGAACGGAGGGCTAATGCCTCAGGTCCAGATCGTGAGGATTGCAGAATGGACACATCTGGGGCAGAACTAAAGTCAAGTCAGAGTGGGTGAGGGCCTTGCTTTTCCTGGACAGGCCAGGGGAGGGCCCTGGGCAGATCACCTGAAACAAGTCTGCAGTAGTTGGACATGATGAGGTCGTCTAGGCCCACGATGCCTCCTGGACCAGTCTCCCCAGCTAGAAGGATCTGAGGACAGGAAGGGCTCAGGGAGAGCCAGACATTTGTCCTTTCTTCTTTATGATCCCCCATACCCCGCCCCACATCCCGTTCACCGCTGTACTCCATAAATTGCCACACTCTCAACTTCTCCCACTGCACAGCCCCCCATGTTGTGTGCATGCTCTAGGCAGAGTTCCCTGATCCCAGTCACCACCTGACTAGCCTCACCCGAAATGGGTGGACACTCTGAATGTCAACCCGGTCTCTGACCCAGGCTGTCCCCAGCTCTCCATGGTGGCTCCGCAGCAGGACAGGATCCTGGGGGGTAGTGAGCCCCTGTGCCAGCAGGAACAGCTGGAAGCGGCTGGCCTCAGACCCATGCAAGTAATAATAGAAGGTGAGCTGAAAGAGAGGGCATTTCAGGTTGTCAGGGGCCTCTGGCATCTAGACAACCAGGAAGGGCAATGCTGAGTCTCACACCCATCTCACCGAACAGTTGTAGGAGACAGAGGCTTGGAACTCAGGGCTGAAGAGGACAGCAGTGGTGCCAGGCTTGGCCATAGAGACCAGGAAGAAGCCTGTGAGAGAGGGCAAATGTGGGTCAGGCTCATTGGAAAATAGATGGGTGGAAAGGGCCATGACCAGAGTCCCTTGGAGACCTCACCATATGCACTATTCCGGCTGTGATCTCGGTGGGGCCAGGCAGGGGTCATCATGCTGCCAGCACTGTAGTTCCGGGTCCAGCCCTCTAACTGGTTCCATGGTCCCAGGCCTGTCTCAAAGTCAGTGGCCATATTGTGGCCTAAGGAGTGGGATTGAGGGGCTATCAGTGCCACTGAGCACGGCTTTCTGTAGTGAGATGGCCCTGGTTCCAGGGAAACACTGACTGTCCCACCCAGAATGGCTATGCCAATGTCCACCTTCCTAGACTATGGGACCCAGAGATCAATGTCTAGCCTCCCGGTCTCATTCTCTAGTCCCTCACCCTGCCCTGCCCTAGATGGTCCCAGCCTCACTGCAGATGAGCGGGTCTTCATCAGATCTGTCCCCACAGTTGTCTTCACCGTCACACAGCTGGTGGGGTTCCACACAAGCCTTGTTCTGGCAGTGATGGTGCCCCAGGGGACAGCTGGCCTGAGGGACTGGGGTGGAAAATAGTTAACATTCACTTTGGTCCCAGGATTCTGGATGGAGGTATTCTGGGGAGAGGCCGAAGACTCAGGGAGGTGGGCAGAGAGGGTCTCCTGGCTTTGGACAGGGGATGTGCAGCCTTACTGGGCAGCCCACAGTCCCGGAACTCCACATCATCCAAGGCCACAGCACTCCTGTGTGTGGCATTTCGGGTGGCAGAAAATGTCACCTGGAGAGAGGAAGAGTCCTTAGGACCTAGGTGAATGCCCAGACTCTCCCTACTGTCTCCAGCCTGGAAAACCACCCAGCTTACTTTGAAATCACCCTGGACACGGCCAGTGTTCACTGCCAGCTCCTGCCAGCCAGGACCCCAGGGTCCTGAGCTCTGCCACAGGGTCACTGTCTCTACACCATGGGTCAGCTCCAGCCGTAGCTCAGCAACATCTGTAGTATTTTGAGTGGTCTTGGGGCATCTTCAGCCTTTTGATGCCACCCTCTACAGGCTGTACTCATCTGGGAGTATCCTCCTGTTTCTGTAGCCAGCCCTTTCCTCACCCAGGCTTTTCCCAGACACTTGGCCTTGAACCTCAGAGATCCACAGCACATACCTCTAGAGGCTGTGTGGTACCAGAGCCTCAGTTCACAGGAAGGGGCTGCCTCACGCATGACAGGGGAGCGCAGAGTCGCAGTGGATGCCTCCTTCCCATGGTGGGTTCCCACAGCCATGTACCAGCCTGGCCAAGGGTGAGAGGTTAGAAGACCAGACAAGACACCAAGACGGAAGGGTGGTAGAAAAATAACAGGGTATATGCACATGGATTCCCAAGGCCTTACCCAAGTCAGTGCCATGTGTATGGTCAGAACGAGGCCCAGGACTATCCAGCACCGCTCCTGCTCGGTCTCGAAGCCAGCTATAGCCCGAGGTGCTGATGTCCTGCCAGCCACAGGAGTCCTGTTCAAAGCTGCAGGTGAAAGGGATGCTTGGGGCAGCTGAGGTACCATGGAAACCTATTGGAATGAGTGGTCAGGGGTCCGCCTTACGCTGCTACTCCCTGCCACTCCCACCCGACCAGCTCACCACACAGGGCTTCATCTGAGCAGTCTCCGCAGTCACACACAAAGTTGCATACAGCTTCAATGGGACTTCTGCAGTGGCTGGGGACCCAGGTCATGCCTAGGGACTGTGCAGCTGGCAGAGTAACAGCCAAGTAAGTGGAGGGCAAGGTGATGGTTGTTTTTATTTTTTAAACACATATATGTATCTGTATACATATATATGCTGTGTAACAGGTGTGGAAGTCAGAGGACAATGGAGGTGGGAGTCATTCCCTTCCACCATGTGGGGACTACGGATCTGAACAGATGCCATCAGGCTTGATAGCAAATGCTTTTACCTTCTGAGCCATCTTGACAGCCATGACTGGCTGTTTTGAGCAGTATAAATTCTATGTCCAGAGAAAACCCAGACCTGAGCAGGCCAAGGTACTAGTTGACTGACTTCAGGGCTCAGCCCTGAGATCATATCCAGAGGGACCTGGCACCTACCAAGAGCTGCCACTGTGGCTCTGAAACACCCCATATGGAAGGCACAGGAGCCCACACGACTAAGGAATTGGAAGGGCTTCTAGTAGGGTCCTCCCTCCCCCAATAAGACACACTGAGGATGGCCAAGGGACTACCACATGTTCCATAATGGGAAAGTGGCAGACGAAGGCTCAGGGAGCTGGGTAGATGGTCACCTATGATGTCCCATGGCCTGTCCACTAGGACAGGGAGGTACGATTTAGGAAGGCAATGCCCAACCTTGTGGCTTGTCCTGGATGCCGTCACTGCAGACAACCCACTTCTGACAAGTCCCTGTATCTGCCCAGACTCCAACTGGCATCCAGGCAGCAGTTTACTCACCCATAAATAGAACCATGTTTGGCAGGAGGTGGCTAGGTAGGTACATGGCCAGGGTGGATGGAGAATGTCTCAGTGGTAGAGAGGCTATGTAGCCTAGAGTAGACTTTACTGTTATCAGCCCACAGTGGCCTCACAGGCTGACTTAGCTCTCACTGGAAAGGGCTCAGCTCCTTTATACTTGCAGCTTCTTGGGTGGGTCCCATCCAATGATGACAGGCCGAGCATCCAGCTGTAAAAGTATCTCTAGAAGGGGGCCCCTGCTTGGCTCTTTCTAACCAAAGGTCAGGTCTTGGCCATCCTGTGCATCCAACCTGCCCTGCCCTGCCTTGCCCTTCGCCCTAGAAGCTCCTATTGGAAGGTGGAAAGGATGGGGACTCTACTTGCAAGGCTCTAAGATTCTCTAATAGGGCCTACAGTCCTACCCTGGTACAGGCCAACAACATCAGGGCAGTCTACTCAGTGGCTACACATGGCCATCCAGTATATATTCACAAGCTTCCTCTGCTCAGTGCTTAGGGGATCAGATCAGGGCAAGTCCAGTATCAACAGCCTACCTCTGTGAATCAGGACAAATCCCATGTCAGAATGTAGTGTCCTTTCACACCACCTGCACCTCAAGCTGTATGCTCTCCCAACGTGTGTGTGTGTGTGTGTGTGTGTGTGTGTGTGTGTGTGTAGAGTCTCACGTGGCCCAAGCTAGCTTGAACTAGCTGGGGATAACGTCTGATCCTTTTGCATCCACCTATCAAGTGCTGGGATTATAGGTGTTACTGCCACACTTAGTTTATGCAGTACTCTAGATTGAGCATGGGAATTTTTATTTTAAGATTTATTTATTTGTTTATTATATATACAGTGTTCTGTCTGCATATATCCCTGCAGGCCAGAAGAGGGCCAGATGTCATTAAAATGGTTGTGAGCCACCATGTGGTTGCTAGGAATTGAACTCAGGACCTCTGGAAGCCCAGCTAGTGTTCTTATCCACTGAGCCATCACTCTAGCCCCTGGGAATTGCTTGTATACTACGCAAGCACTCTTGTATACTAGGCAAAGATCTATCTTCAGCCTCCTATTCATCTTTAAAAACTGTCCTGAGCAGCCATGTGCTGGGTGGTTCATGATAGGAAAGTCTTAATGAACACACAGCTCATTTTCCCACAGTTGAGGCAGGAGGAATGTCAGTTTTGGAGAGCTTGTCACATGGAGCGAGGCTCTGCCTATGACTTATCTTAGTGTTACGTGTGTGTGTGGGGGGGGGGCATCTCACCTGAGCCTGTCTGCTGGCCTATAAAAGGGTATCTCAGTAGTGACTGCTTGCATCTGACAGGAATGTCATGAGCTGACTAAGGCTGGCCTAAGAATGGTAAAGGATGTCCCAGGGATGTCTGGCTTTCCCTAGTATCCATTATAATGGCACAATGTGCATGGGACTTCTTAGAGCAGGTTAAGCTAGTCCCTACCCACTGTCCTGTACAGTGAGGTAGAGTTGGTACAGAGACAGACTCATGGGGTGTGAATGGTCCAGGGACTAAGACACAACACAAGATCAGAAATCCTGAGTGAATGAGACACAGGCAGTTAGTGTATGCTACAGGGTCCTAAGGGTTGTGGGTAACACCATGAACCTTCCCTGATGGCTGATCACTCAGGGATATCAGGCTTGGACTGAGAACAGATTAACAATGCAGCCTGTCAGCTAGCCAGGACCCTTTCCTGCTGGGATTCCTGGATGAACTTATGGGCACCTCAGGCTTTGCGTGGTCAGGAACTGACTTCTTGTGCAAGGCCTTGTGGGGCCTCTTCCCAGATGTCCTTGGGGATACCTTCATGAAGAGCAATCAGGCCATAAATGACAGCAATTCTGGGGCTCCTTATCTGAACCCAAAGGGCTGAGCATGCACCAATAGTCCCCAGGGCCTCCTGAAGCTGAGTAGATATATCCCGTGGCAACCCAAAGGTAGCAAATCCAAGACACAAGTCAGGGACTAGCAGGCATATCAATGCTTTTAATTCCTATGGACCAGATTGGTCTGGGCTTCTAAGGCCTGGCAGGTGGCATGTTGCCCAAAGTACAAAAGGAAAGCACAGGGCCAGCCCCTCAAGGGACAACACAGCAAGAGCAGAGTCCTGAATTAGTTGCTGAGGGGCAGGGTCTCAGTAGCCATCATCAGCCCAGGTAACCTCATAGTCAGGATACTTGGCTTTGATCTTCTCAGTTGAAACAGAGTGCTGGGCACGACCATAACCCTAGAGAAAAGATGACCACTAGTCTGCCTGTTTTTTTTTTTTTTTTTTTTTTTTTGCTCTGTGAGTTCACCCAGCAGCCACAGCAATAGCAGGCATGGGAAAGTAACCAAACCCTACCATCCTAACCATTCTGGGGACAGATTGGGGACTGAAGGACTGGACAGGTGATGCCTGAGTGGTCTTTATGAAAAGGGATGGAGATGGTCAGGGCTGGGAGTTTGACCCCACCACTGGCTACTCCAAGGACCCCAAAAGACCAGGACCCAGACCCATAAGGATTTAGGGTAAGGAGGGAGTACAGACCAAGGGAGATGGCTTCCAGAAACCCTGGGGACATATGGGAAATGTGAGGGAAGGAAAGCCTTGTCCCTAAGGGTTCTGTAGCTTCAACTTTGAAAGTCCCAGAGGTGGTTTGAATGGCGGGGGGCGGGGGGGGGGGGCTGGCTCACAAGAGTGAGTTTTGCAGTCTGGCCTAGGGCCTGGAGCTCACCATGGAGTAGCCATACACATGTATCTTCCTGTCCTGGCTCTGATGGGAGATGCGTCCGCCGCCTAGGCATTCACAGTCATAGCCATTCTTTTGCAGCTCGCCTGACACTTTGTCATAGATATCCGCTGGGGTGGGGAGAGTGGCCTCAGGATATGACCTAGTCGCCCCTGCTGGCCCCATAATGGATTCTAGGGCTGGATATGGGGGTCTGAAGCTCCAGGTCTTGGTAGTTTTTTTCCCAGTGGAGATGAGCCCCTCCCTCGCAGGCACAAGGATGAACGGAAGAAGATACTTACGAAGAGGGAAACGGGACTAAAAAGGGTCCAGTCTCGCACTCCTTTAGGCCCAGAACCCCAGGATGACTTTTCTAGGTCAGCCCGGCTAAGTGTTAGCACAAGGCACAGTATATTAGCATTCACAGCCCCGCCACTAGCAACTGCTAGGTCCAGGCCCCGCCCCCAACCTTCGTTCCAACACACAGGCGCAGAAGCCCCGCCCTCACCGTGGTACTCAGCCCATTTGTAGCCACGCACGATTTCCTTGCACTCCTTCGTTGGATCTCCGGAGGGCGGTGCTAAGTGGACTCGAATCAGCACGTACTTGAAGACGCCATCCGAGTCGATGTCCACATCAGGAATCTGAGCGAGGTCCGCCGCCATGTTCCCCAAAGCTCTCGGCCTCAGGACCCCAGAACCCCTTTCTCAACCCAACCGAGTGCTTAGCGTGAGGGAGGCGGGCCCTTTGGCAGCCCCAGCCAATCGCGTGAGGGGATGTTTCCCGAGGCCCAGAGTCTCAGCCAGTTGTACTTCCGATCTGAGGCACGGACTAGCCAATTGCAACACAGTTCTTTGCAGCTTTGAGATCTTGAGTCCCAGTGAAAATCGCTGCGATATATATAGGGAAATCTGTGACGCTGTAAGTCAAACTGCTGGAGGTGGAGTAGCAAAGGAGGATGCAGTGACCCACCCCGGCTCCACTCCTGAGTCCTAGGGCTTCAATCCCCTAGCTTAAACCATTAAATCTGTAGTCTCTTTCTCCCAACACCCATAAGATCGAGGATCTCCAAGTTCAAGGACTGTCCTGCTTGACCCCTTCACACCCTCGGGCCTCCCTTCCACAATACTCTCACGTCCAAGGTCTCTGATTGCCAAGCTCATACTCCCAACGCCCCCCCCCCTACACACACACACACACACACACACACACACACACCACCACCACACAGTTAGTGGCAACTACATTCAAGTTCTATTTTACTTGGTTCGAAAGCACTGGCCTTTTGGAAATGGGCCAGTTCTTACCAGCCTGCCGCAGGAAGGAATGTGGAGCCTCTGGGAAGGGCGGCAGGCGGCGCGGCAGCAAGTGTTGCAAGAGCGGCATCAGGGCAGGTGCTAAGACGCAGGCCAAGGTGGGAGCTCTCTGGCCTGTCCCTGGGGTGGGGGTGGGGCCCACATCATGTGTGTGCGCGCGCGCGCGCGCGCGCGAAGGGATAGTGACGCATGCGCGCACTGGGCGCGCAGGGCGTTGTCCCAGGCTCTTGCACTTGACCTCCCTTACCTTCGAAGGGTACTTATTCAATTTCTGGTCTAGCCTCTCC